AAATGATGGTGTTGTTTTTGCTGTTCGTTTAATCTCAACGTGTGAAATTGGCAAACCTCGGCGTCTTTGGCCATAACCGCTTGATTGATATCATACTTTTCTTCTTCAAGTTTCACCATATGTTGAAAGAGTTGGTTGTAGATCGCTTCCAATTTACCTGTCACATCCACCCATTTTATACAGATTCAAGAAATTTGTGGTTGAAATTCGCCCTATACTAGTGTCGCTTGTTTCATCTACCGAATTCAAATTCAAGAAACTAGCCGGTAAACGCAATACGGTGGATGATGAAAATTTCGAAATACTATTTTGGACTAGGAAATGTTGGAGTTCAAGACTGAATTTGAATTTCAGTTTTATAAATTATAAATGATGAAAAATAAGAAAAAGGCATTTCGAAAACCATTTGATTATACCATGATCTTCGATGGTGTCTACATCTGGCAGTGGAATTGTACGTTGCGAAAGCACCTTCTGCCTTTCCTGTTCTTTCAACAGCTGTTGTTGCTTCAGATCTTCTGCTGCTTTCATCATAAGCAGCTTCTGAAAGATGATTAAAATGCTTTCCATAAATCCATTCAATGGAATTTCTAGAAATCTGTCACCACTTAGTTTATTTTATAAAATTTTCACGCAATTTGATAAATCTCCAATTTTGCTTACATACAAAACTTACACGGAGCTTCTTCTTTCTCTCCGGTGTCAAAAAACCCTTTTTGGCCTTCTTTTTGGAGCCAGCTTCTTCAAGACGCTTGCGCACTTCGGCCTTCTTTTTCTCTCGCTCCTCGGCTTTACGCTTTGCTTCCTGCGCAAAAATTCTGCGTTAATTTCTTTAATTTCTCTAAAAACCACTTCACAATTTTCGACTCTTTTTGGTCAAAATTCACAATGGTGAATGGTGGCGGGGTTTAAAAATTAGCAATTCTTAACAAATACTTTGCGAGTGAACCCTTCTTATGCAAATTCGTGGAATACAAGGGAACCCCTGATTCTTTAAAGCATGTTGTTTGACTCTTACATGACCGATCCTTCAGTTCCGCCACGGTCAACTCTTCACTAGCATCCTAAGCACATTCTTCTGACGCATTATGGCTACTGCTAGCTTCCCACAAAGATTTCACGACAAACTAGAAAAGAATGATTTTAAATTCTCTCGCAAATTTCTGGCCAGTATAAATCTGTTAGTTATCACGTAGTAATTAGAGTAATTACAAAGATTTGGCATGCAAGATTTTGGTAATTTGTATGCATACTTCATGTTTCCAAGATTTTTAGCTATGAAAAAGAAATACGATAGCAAAATCGAACAGTTTTAGCACTTCTCCTCTCCTCTAGGTTTATTCGAATTTGCAAAGTGCGCATTCAGTAATAAACTTGTTCGATAAGACTAAGCGCCTTTGTAATTAGTTATTGAAACCACATATTAAATGAATCTGCCATACACTTAGTAAGAGTACCGCATCCTAGCTATTTTTCAATCCATGAAATGTATACAAGCCAAAACACCCTGGTTTTTATAATATAGCTTTTCCAGCGGATAAATGTCAAAACCCAGTATTGTCTAAAAACTGATTTCGCATCAGTCACTATTGCAGCCTTGGAACTCCTAGCTTCAGCCGATATCAAACAATTATGGCGGAATTTTGGGCCTGAAACCAGCGTTAGGCAAGGTACAGATAGGAATGAGAACTGGTCGCTAGCTGCGGCGGTTAAAATGGTTTTTCTTTGTCTTCAAAATGTCAGCTCTTTAACAGTTCACCGAATTGAAGGCCTAGGAATAGAATGGAGACGACTACTTAATTCGTCCATAATTTGAAAAAAAAAAGTAGTAAATGCTAAAAATGCGGAAGAAATATTTAATAAACTTACAGAATCGGCCGATTCGTCATCTTCGCCAAGAGGGCCGCCGTAGCGGGGTCGATTCTCATATTCAGGCACTTCGTTGCTTCTACCCTCGTCCATATCCATATCCGTGCTACAACTTCTTTCTTTGTAACTTTCATTCGACTTTTACAATACAAAACGCGCAAGATTCGCCCCTTCTGTTTCAAGCCTGACTGCCATTAAAATCGGTAATATGTCTCGCAGAATAAAATCGTTGGCGACTAGCAACGGGTGGGCCTGCGCGATCATGCGTTTTTGCAGTGTTTCGTGCTGTAATAAGATCGCTCGGAAACCCAGTAGCTAAAGATGTGTGACATACTGGTCATCGGATTTCGGGAAGTTAATTATCTACGCCATACTTAGGCAAGGAACATTCTCTAAAAATTTTTCTCATAGTTCTGGAGTTAGCCATTTTCCCGCCAAAATTTTTCACGGAGCCGTCACGCATGCTCGGGGGCTGAATTTGAAAAATTTAAGTTGTACGCGGGCCGGGAACATCTCCTTAAAATTTTGGCTTCCCAACTGTCCTGAATCCCAAGTTAGCCATTTCCCCGCCAGGGACCTCACGGGGTCCTACGCGGGAACTGCGCACACCTCGAGGCTGAATTTAAAATCTTTGAGTTCTACATGGACAATGAACATAACCTCAAAATTTCAGCCTTCTAGCTTTTCTGGTTCCCGAGTTAGCGATTTTCCCACCAAAACTTCCAGGCATTCGTGCGCGGGGTCAAGACGTGCATGAGGGTTGGTGCCACGGCCCTGGGGTGGCACTTGGCCCGGGAATCCATTCGCAAAATTTCGGCATTGGAGCTTGCTTCGATGCCGAGTTGAAATATCCGGACAGATGCACACACACACACACACGCACACACATACATACACATACCGAGGTCGTCGTAATGTGCGTTTTCGCATTTGCATATATGCAAAAACGCATAATGGCTAGAATTTAATACAGATCAATGGCTGCTCGCTTCTACTACGTTCAGATAGCAGAATGTTAGTTAAACTTGCAACGGCTCCTCGACAGTCTAGCAGCTGCAAATGAACTGAAGTTCTTTCACTTAAATTCCGTGACAGACTTCAGCTCTTCAGGCCATGAACCCCGTGATGACGAGAGTCGAAATAAGATAAACATATAGAGGATGCATAATTGCAAGGATGTAAAAAATTTAGTAAGGGAGGAAATGAGCCAGAAATTTGTGAACTGAAATTCCCGGATCCATAACATAAATACGCCTGTTAACAATATTGCAGTTTTCGACATTGTGCACTTTTAATTTACGTACATGAAAGAAGGATATAAAACTGACACAAGCCCAACAGTAGTTGTTTTGAAAATCAAAGAAAGTGAGCTGAATCAGTGAAATCCGAATGAAAAGCTAGCATCAGCTGCAACTTGGTGCGAGAAAATGTTGAACGCATCGAAAAGAAACAACTGACGCTTCAGGCTACCTGCGTGTTTTTTTCATATTGCGCCTGCTGCTGCTGCTGCAAGCTGTACTGAATTTGTTGCTCTTTAAATTCACGTCGGGAAAATCAATTCTTTTGAAATTTATGGCGTGACCAGCCATTATTCGGAAAACAACTGGCAAGTAAAAATATGAAAGCAGCGCTTCAGAATTCCCTCTCGATTCAAGCTCCTCAAAGGTGGTGGCACTCGATTGGAATCTAACTGACAGTTACATCTACGAGCAACAACCATCAACTGAAGAAGCCCACACTCGTTCTGTAATGTTTGTACCCTAAGTAGTTGACTGCTGAAGAAAACCAGTAAACGGTAAAGGACCGAATTTTCTGTTCACGGAAAATAGCTACTGAAAGCTTATTTCCCTAGGATCTAACTCGCAGATAAATATCATATTCAGATGAGTATATAGCGACCACGAATTCTTTGCGAAATAATCGTTGCTGCAATTGCTTTTTATGAATTTGTTGAGAACAAATAACGATTCAGTCAGTTCGCGATATATCAGTCATACCGATGCGATTATGAGTTTTTGATCGAATCTGAAGCAATCAGATCACTAGCATTGTGAATGGTTGTTGCTGTAGAAGGGAAAAATGCGTTGGCTGGAGCGATAGTCCTTCTACCGTGAGGCCGCGTGAACTCTGAATCTCATTCGTATATGATTACAGTAAATCTGCATGAAGATGCTGCCGGCAAAAGACGCCATCAAGTTCGCCATATCCGTACGAGAAAATAACCCAGGCTGAAAGGCATCGGGCGGGCCTGTGCGATTATGCGTTTTTGCAGCAGACTTGAAGTACTCAGGTCATTAACTGTGTGAATGGCTATTGCTTCACACCTACCTTTTACGGTCACTAGCATAAATCATCATAAATTTTGCAAAGTAAATGTAAAATTTCCATTTAACGGTCGTTCATTAAAAGTCACCTAATTGTTCAGTGAGAAATTTTTCCACCAAAACTTTTAATTGCTCGTACATAACAACGCATACCTCAAGGCTGAATTTGAAATACTTAAGTTGAACTTAGACGGGAAACATTCCCCCAAGATTCCAGCTTTTCTGGCTACCGAGTCAGCAATTTTCCTGCAAAAACCTTCACATACTCGTACGTGGGTACTCCACGTGCATAAGGCTGAACTTGAAACTTTTAAATTGCACGTGGACAGGGGACATCCCCTTAAAATTTCAGCCTTCCAGCTTTCTTGATACCCGAATTAGCAACTTTCTCTCTAAAGCTTTCACATGCTCTTAAGTGAGTACTACGCATACCTGGGGGCTGAATTTGAAATCTTTAGCTAGTACATGCACGAGGAAACTACAAAGTTTCAGCTTCTTTACTTGTGTGTTTCCCGAGGTCGCTTCCCCTCCAAAAAATTTGCATATTTTTTTAAAGCGTCCGTACGCGACACCCAGGCGTCCGCGGGGGATGAAATTAAAAGGGGAGGGTCGCGCATGGTATGGGCACACACTCCCAAAATTTCGGCCTTCTAGCTTTTCTGGTTCTCGAGTTGAAAGTGGGTGACAAAAAGTGTGAACACATAGACACACACAGCCTCTTCCCAATACGCGTTTTTGCAATTTGCATATATGCAAATACGCATAAAAAATTTATGGTAGCTGACTTTAAGCTCACAGACTTTTACATGGATATTAAATGTTCTCACAGAATTTCGCCTCTTAGTCTGACTGCAGAATAAATGGGAACAAAATTTGAAAATTTACTTGCGCGTAACGCAAGACGATATGCTTTGATATGCTTTGAAGCTCAGTTTAAAATGTTTAAATCTCAAAGAGGGGTAGAATATGCTTGTAAAATTTCAGCCTTCTAGTTTGTCTGGTCCATGAAATCGTCACTTCGCTATAGTTATTTTCAATGCGCTCTAACGCACGATGCAGGGGCAATCCATAACTCAGTTTAGATGCATGAATCCTACATGGATTATAAATATTCTTGCAAAACATCAGCGATTCTCTTCCGGCTAATTCTCAATATAGGCGCAGTGCTAAGGACGAATCCGACGTGTCCGTATGCATGACGTAGGCCCATTTTTTAGCTGAATTTGAAATCTTTAGCTCGCAAACGGATAAAGAACATCCTGAAAAGTTTCAACTTCGCACAATGAATTTATTTTTCTCCGAGCTGCATGTCCGGATTGAAAGTGGGTGAAAAAGTTCATTTTTACACACAAACAAAATCATTAGTCACGGCGTCGATTGCCGGTACGAAGGTGCGCTTTTTGCAAAGTTACCTTTTGGGTTTTTGTTGCTAACCGCACTGTTTTTTTCGGTAAATGCTTCTAGCTAAAAGAAGTGAGATTGGGCAC